GAAAGAGAAAAAAGAAAGAAAGAAAGAAAGAAAGAAAGAAAGAAAGAAAGAAAGAAAGAAAGAAAGAAAGAAAGAAAGAAAGAAAGAAAGAAAGAGGAAAGAAAAGGAAGTAGCTGGGAGGCCTGTGGCCTCTGTGAGGAAGGCGAGGTGAGGACACACTTCGCCTCCTGGGTGTGATCCCTTCACCACCTCTCCTGTAACCCCACTTTATCTTAGCAGTCAGGGGGTGTTTGTATTTGACTGACTAGGCATGAGCCATAAGCCATTCTCAGTATCCCCTTCTCTCTATATTTTTTCTTTCTTTTTATCTTTTCTTTTCCTTTCATCACTAATGCCCTACCCCTCTCTCTTCCCAGTTTTTTTTTCCTTCCATGGAAGGTCTCCTGTGTCTCTGGATGGCCTCGAACTGGTGGTTTAAATAAGAATGGCTCCCACAGGCTCATGCATTTGAATGCTTCATCATCAGGGAGTGGCACTTTTCGAGAAGGACTGGGGGTGTGGCCTGGTTGGAGGAAGTGTGTCACTGTGGGTGGGCTTTGAGGTTTCAAAAGCCCAAGCCGGGTCCAGTGTTGCTCTCTGCCTATGGATCAGGATGAAGGACTTCCGGCTCCTGCTCCAGCGTCCACCTGCATGCCGCCATGCTCCCAACCTGAGGACTAACCTCTGAAACTGGAAGCAAACCCCAATGAAATGCTTTCCACTGTAAGAATATCTGTGGTCATGGTATCTCTTCACAGCAACAGAACGGTGACTAAGACAACTTCCGATCCTCCTGCCTCCAACACTAGAGTCTGGGATTACAGCCTGGTTTAGGGGTACTGGGGGTCAAACGCAAAGTCCTGTGCACACTAGGTAAGCTCTCTGCCCACCCAGTCCCATCTTCAACACTCTGTAATAGAGTTACTGCCCCTCTGACAGCCACAAGTGTCCCCCTTGAGACCCATGTCACCCCTACAAAACTGAGCCCCAAAGTGACAGCTCAGACTTACATATCCAGGCAAGTGTTAAGCCCCGTGATGCACTTATTACTATCACTTGCTGAGGTGGAGATCATAGAAAGGTATCTCATAACCGTTCCGACAGGTGCTCTCCTCTGAGAGTACACATGTTACAAGGGAGGCAAGAGTGAAGTCTGAAATACCTAATTCAGCCTGAGGATTCAGAAGCCTCCCCCATGGCCATAGCAATCTCTGTTGGGGGTTCAGTGAAAGATGGAGCATTGACATCTCAGGGGAAAGAGGAGGAACAGATTGCCTGCCAGCAGCAGCAACTACCAGCTTACTCACAATGCACACTCCTGAGCCGTCCTGGCAGCGGTTTGAATGTCCGTTGCAATTGCAGGGAACACACCTTCCCGCGGGTAGGTTTTTGTTGTCCCGATAGTATCCAGGGCGACAAGCCTATTTTTTCAAACAAAAATGTTTCATCGATACAAAGAAAAGAGAATTATTATTTTCCAAAGCCCGTCACAATTCTTACTGTGAAGAAGTCGAGGTTTTAAAACCTTCCCTCCCCAGGGGCTGTGTGGATTTCTGATATCCACCAGCAGCCAGCGTGACTGCTTTTTGGTAAGATTGTGCTGTGTCTTTGCGATGGTGGTGGGAATGGAGCCTAACAGAGGAAGGAGAAGTGGCCGTGGGCCCCTCTCACATACCAGTGGTCTCAAAGGGGTTGAGCAGGTGGAGGGCGGGAGTAAAGAGGCTGCCAGTCCCTCGTGGGGCACAGAGCTAAGCCAACTCAAGGTCAACAGTCTCCACACAGCCCACCCTCCCCAAGTATGGGGTCAGGCTTGAAGGGGGGGTGGGGTGGGCATAGTCTTCAACAGAGTCGCTCAATAATGGTACAATTATTGGAATCATTTTAGCAACACTCAGTAACCAGTGGTCCGCAGGTGTTGAGTGCTCACATGCAAGACTGTTCTCAAGAATTTGGCCCACTGTGAAGACAGAGACCCGGCCTGAGAGAGTCTCCGGGTTTAGTCTCGTTTCCATGTTTCTCAAGAATCAGTCAATTCTATCTCCAGTCTGCTGTCTCCTTCCAGATAATAGCATGGCTTTTAGCTGGGTGAAAAGTGTGTGTGTGTGTGTTGAAAAGTGTGTGTGTGTGTGTGTGTGTGTGTGTGTGTGTGTGTGTGTGTGTGTGTGTGTACTTGGGTTTTTTGAGGCAGGATTTCTCTGTATAGCCCTGGCTATCCTGGAACTCACTCTGTAGGCCAGGCTGGCCTTGAACTCACAGAGATCCACCTGCTTCTGCTTTTGCCTCTGAGTGCTGGGATTAAAGGTGTATGCCACCACCACCCAGCAAGAGTTAATATTTTTTCCATGGACTTATGTCTTATTTAAAAGATGCTGTTAAGAACTTTCCAAGAGCACTTTAATCCCAGCACTTGGAAGACAGAGGTAGAAGGATCTCTATGAGTTCCAGGCCAGTGCTACAGAGTAAAACCCTGGCTTTAAAAAAAGGATTATAGGTAGATGCGGTCTTTATCTTGGCAGAGTCAATCCATGCACAGCTTAACACTGGCTTTCCCCTTGTTTGTGGCTCTGGTCTCCCAGATTTCCATCTTGAAAGAACCAAGAAGAATTAAAATCTCAACCCATCTGATGAATGATCTTAAACAGCACATATGTCCATAACAAGACTCTGAAATGGCAGTCAATGCAAAACCTGAAATAAACAGGCCAGTCTCAGTGCCCACGTCCACAAAGGACCTGTGCCTGGGCATCTGGAAGAATCACGGGATCACGTGCTGTGGGGTGGGGGGAGGGATCAGCTCCAGCCAGGATCTCCTTCCCAAATGACCAATGGCTGACAGATCATACAAACAACAGAACGCAATTCCCAAAATAATGCTCCTTTACGTGATTAGGGACCATGTTTGGGCAAAGGGATATATTGCAATTTTTTTTTTTTTTTTTACTTTAAGGCTCTATATGAATAGGCTTGTCTAAAGGAGAATTAAGTATGAAAGGAATGTTCTGTAGCTCAGCTGGGAGACACACCTGAATGAAATCCAGCCAGGGACTGTGTGGCATATAAACAACAAACCAGCTGCAGGATGAACTGGCGGCTGCCTTACATACATCACGTCATTTGCTCAAAATAATTATATTTGGTAAGGGACAAATTATTCAAATGAACGAATAGGTCTCGTGAGTGAAGGCACCATGCTCGGACAAAAGCCCTAATTAAACCTGCTATGGGAAAGAACAGTCTATCATGATCAAAACAAAATCATCCACCTTAATGTGCTTTTAATTACAAGCAGGAAAAATGCTCTGCCCAAGTTCCAGGTCATGTGACTCGGAGTACTTGTCAGTGACTCAAGTGTAACCATTTCATGCCTCCACAAAGCAAGCAAACACATTTCACAGAAGTATTCAAATTCTATTGAAGATCTACAGGTGGAAATGAGTGTGTCCTATACTTCAATAAAGAGACTTAGAAGTGGTGAAGCTTTACAAAGCCGTGTTCTTAAGGATAAAATTTCCTGTAACATTTTATATTATAGATGATAAAATGCCCCATCCACTTTCCGGGTCAATCTCATAGGCAACAGGCTCTATTTCTCTGTAAGTACACATGTAGCAGCCAGGGCATGTAAGGAGTGAGCAAAATTCATGAATGTTTCATGCCCGGCAAATCGCAGCATGTCCGTGAGGCACTATACAAACTTTGATCGTTTTCTTAGCCTTGGTTCTTACTGTTTGTTTTACTTTGTGGGCAAATGTTCTTCCTAGTGAAACTGGCAAGCGTACAGGCAGTAAGTAGCCTCTTGTCCCGGGCTTGAGCTAGTCCCCAAAGGGCACCGAGTTTCATGGTGTACCGCTACTCCACAAGCATCCAAGCTCCCAACTGTCTAGGCATTCCACGGTGGGCCGATGTTTATGGGGCTTGTGGTTAATAGCTCGGGAGAGCAATCTGCCCAGCCCTGCAATAAACCCTGCCACTCACCACAACCGGGAGGCTGCCTGCCCTTCCCCCAGCCCACCCATCTACTCCGTAATAACCCTAACTCAACATGTTGCCAAGCTGGACACATTTTCCCACCCCAAACGGAAATTTAAAACGGGCATTACCTGACTAGGTCTGAGCTCCGTATAGCTTGCTTGAAGATGATTTTGACCCGGATGCTGAAGAAATGCCACCCTTTGCTGATCTGAGCCATATCCCAGGCACTGGCCCAGGGCTGCCCCAAAGATCCAAAGCCATCCTGTGCTCCAGGCTGACCACCTCACTGCAGGGGGCATCCTGATCCCTGGGTGCCCCACGGGCTGCATGCAAAGCTCTGCACTCTTCCTCTTATAGGTGCCCTCCCTGCTCAGTGCCCGGGCCTGTCTGACTCAGGGAAGGAAGGCTGTCTGCAGCGGGGGCCCCACCTTTACACTTCACACATGACTCAGCCTACTGGGGAGAGAAAGCACAGAACAGTTCCACAGGTAAGCAGAGCCTTGTAATTCCTGAGAGGTGGGGCAGACGTCACCTTCTGCCCACCTGGCCCTGCAGACAGCCCCAGACGATAGGAGCTGCTGTAAATCACAGGCTGAGTCAACACCAAAGCCCACACCCTGGCCACGAGGGTGCTAATCTGCCGACTCCTCTTTCCCTTGGGCTATCTAATTTATATTTTAAGTCAGTTAGAAAAGAGATGGAAGGCAGTGAGCTGAGTAGAGCTCAGCCAGCCTGTGAGCCAACTCACAAGAAAAGGAGTCTCCAGGATGCCATCACAAAGGGGAGAGTTTCCGGCTTAAAACCCAGGAAAGTGAAGACGTTGGCTGGTTTACGCACTTTGGGGACAGGGCACAGAACAACACCATTGCCCTCTCCCAGTAATTTTGCCAACACCGATTCTCATTAGGGAGAGAACACATTGATGTGTGGGCTGAAAGCGGTCTCATTTGTAGTACATTTTAATCATGTGAGGGTAAGTTCAAACAACTCGGACCTGCTACGAGGTGGAAAACGGGAGAGAGGTTTCCCTTTTGCATCCAGGGAATTCTCTGGATTTAACTGCACTAGGGTGGCAGGGTGACAGGAGGCCCCAAAGATCCAGAGCCATCCCGTGCTCCAGGCTGGGCCAGCTTACAGGGAAGGACAGATAAACACCGAGTCTTCCTACCCCTGATTTCCACATCCACGGAGCACCCACAGTCTCCTGTGAAAGGCAAGGCACTGTGGTGTCTTTGTCACATTTTGAATCCCTAAAGGGAGTCTCGGGAAGATGCTAGGCCTGGCCCAGCACACTTGGATGACGGGTAGAGAAAGCCCCAACTGTGGGCCATTGCTGGACAGCAGCCAGAAGAAGCCAGACGCGGATGAGGGCCCCAGGAAGTGAGGAATACGCGGCTGGGGAAATCCTACCTGACATGAGTCACCTGTGTAGTCAGGGGGACAGGCACACATCTCCACAAGATGAGCTCTGGGTCCGCTTCCCGTGTCGGAGACCTCCTCCAGCCCTACCTCGCCCAGGGTGAGCCGCTGTGTCTCAGTGAAGTGGAGGCCCCGGATGTACAGCCCTTCCAGTTGGGACAGCACGGTCATCAGCTCTTCCCGGGACACTGGGGCACCGTTGTCCTCGTGTCTGAAGTTTCCCTGCATGGTAAATGGAGAGGTTTCCTTAGGCAAGGTCACTTCCGGAGAGAAAGGCCCTGGAATGGGTCCAAGTGAAGACATTCAGAATGTTTGAGGGAAAAGCAGTCCAAGAAAGATGGGGAAGTCCTTCCTGGGGCAGGCACACCCGGCTGCTCCAGGGAAGGGATCTCCATGACCAGCGCATGCCTTCGTAAATGTCCTTTAATCTGGGAAAATATAAAGTCCATGATGAGGATGCAGAAGAAAAAGCCTAACTCCGTAAGTTAGCTAAATGTGCATCGTTAGGACAGCAAACACGATCTCTTCTTGCACAAGTATTTGTTTTATTAATTTGCTGCTTTGTTTGTGTGCTTGGTTGGACTTTTGTTGTTTTGTTTTTTTTTTCTTTTTGAGACAGAGTCTAGCTAAGAAGCCTCGGCTGGCCTGGCACTCAGGATCCTTATACCTTAAGCTTCCCAAGTGCTGAGATCCCCAGTGTGAGGAGACACTTCATGACTCTTCCTGTCATTTGTTATTTGTAATAGATGTATGTGATTTTTGTTTTGTTTTGTTCCAAGACAGGGTTTCTCTGTGTAGCCCTGTCTGTTCTGGAACTCACTATGTAGACCAGGCTGGCCTCGGACCCGGAGATCCACCCACCTCTGGCTCCTGAGTGCTGGGATTAAAGGCGTGCACCACCACCACTGCCTGGCTGATGTATGTAATTTTATTGTTAAAAACCACATGCCATGAAATGTACTATCATGTCCATTTTATTTATGGATTCTGTAGTGCAGTGGTCTGAGCTATGAGCACAACATTGTACAAGTCTCAAAAACTTGCTCGTGGTTGGAAACAGAAACTCTAGGCAGACCCCTCCACCCATGGAAACACACACCCTACTTTCTAAGAGGTGGACTGTGTTAGGGACCACATATCAGTGGACTTACATCCTGTATGTTTCTGTGACTAGGCACTTCTTACCAAGAAGTTATTTAGTAATGAATTTTCTGCTCGTAGCTCAGATCAGTGCACTAACTTTCTTGCACATGAATTCTTTGTTTCTTAATTGTTCACATTAATTGTTTGTTTCTTCTGCTTTGTACTTTTTTCCACTTTCTGTGGTGTATGTGTATGAGCACACATCTATGTCAGGACACATGTGGAGCTCAGAGCGACAGCTGGCAGGAGCCTGCCTCTCCTCCCACCACGTGGATTCCTGGCCTCGAACCTAGGTCCTCAGGTGTGCTGGCCGATGCCTCTACCTGCTGTGCCATCTCTCCAGCCCTCCTTCGGTGTTTGAATAGCTCATCCACCACCTTCGACCGCCTCGTTCTGTTAGTGAGGCCACTTGCATGTGATGGATCGGGCTCTGGTAGTCAGTTCTCTCTTTGTCTTTCTGCATGTGCATTACAATATGTTTGTGCGGACCTCTTCTTCTATCCTAGTTAGACTTGGGGGTTTGGCAATGAAATATTAGTGACTCTCATCATGTTTGGTAAGTGATTCCTGCCTCGAATATTTTCTCTTCTCTTTCTGAAATCTCCATTACATACGATGGTACACTTGAGCTCCTCCAAGCTCGCATCTGCCTCCAAAAGAGGATACAAACAAAAGCATGTAAGCAGCAGACCCCTGCGGTGTACTGTAGTCTAGATTATGTAGTGGGGATTTTGTGCTTTGGTCATAACAAAGTGCCAGGTAGTAGCTGGCTTATACCATGATGTTGTTTGTCATGGTCCTGGAAGATCCGAGTGCCGGCTGAATGGGCTCCTGGGGAGGCTCTCTGCCTGATTTGTAGATAACTATTATCATTACATCTTGCCTCTTGTACGTTGGTTTAATTATGTGTATGTGGCAGTCTGCATGTGCATGTACATGCATGGATGTGTTTCTGGAGAGCAGAGGAGGCACTGAATCCCCTACAGCAGGAGTTTCAGGAGGCTGTGAGCCACCCAGTCTTAGTGTTGGGAACCAAACTCAGGCCCTCTACAAAAGCAGCAATGCTCTTAACTGTGGAACCATCTCTCTTAACACTAAAGAACATGAGCTCTCTGGTCGTTCTGGGCATGAGAGATGCTCAGTGGGTAAGACAGAGATGGGAGCATCCCCCCAGATTGCTGGCCAGCCTACCTGGCAAGTTTCACACCAAGAGAAAGCTTGTCTTAGAGAAAGGAGAAACAGCAGCTAAGGAACTATAGCTGAAGTTGTCCTCTGGCCTGCACACACATGCATGTGTACACACACACACAGACACACACACACACACACACACACACACACACACACACACACACACACACACACACAGGACAGGGGAGATATTTATAAAAGAGTATATAAGCAAAAACATGTAAGCATCAAACACTCAGTGGTATATTATGTTCTAGATTATGTGGTAGGGTGGGGGTTTCACATGGTGTGTGTGTGTGTGTGTGTGTGTGTGTGTGTGTGTGTGTGTGTGTGTGTGTGTGCAGGTGTCATGATGTTTGTATGGAGGTCAGAGGACAAATTTTGGGAGTCAGTTTCCTCCTTCTACCATGTAAGCCCCAGGGATCAAACTCAGGTTGTCAGGGTTGGGATCAAGTTCTTTACCCATGTAGCTACCTGACTGGTCCCTGTTTGTTTTTTTATTTTTTGTTTGTTTTTTTTAAGCCATACCACCCCCACCCTGTGTGTGTGTGTGTGTGTGTGTGTGTGTGTGTGTATGATCCTTCTCTCTCTCTCTCTCTCTCTCTCTCTCTCTCTCTCTCTCTCTCTCTCTCTCTCCAAATGCAATCTGTATTCTTAAAATATTCTTAAAGTGAAAATCTTGACTAAAAGAACTAAACACAGATCAAAAGACCATCAGAGACCTCTTCCAGGGACTTGTCTCACCTCAACCATTTGCACTCTCCCATGATGCAGCCTGTCTGGCCGTGGGTCACTGGATTCCTTATGGATGATGGACATGTGCTGACCCTGTTTAAGGAGAAGCAGGAATGCATTAGTGCCTGGGTTGGGATGCTTTGAAGCTTGTACTGCTGTTAGAACAGATTTCTATGTGTGTCTACATTATAGAAACTCCTGGCCCTAAACAGTTCAGAACTGACTGGGTTAGTGACCCAGACACAGGTGAATAGCAGTTCATATGGTACGTTTCCACATATGAAAACTACCTTGACCAAAAGTGATTTTAAAAAATGAAGAAAGAATAAGAGCTAGAGAGATAGCTCAGTGGTTTGGAGCACTGGCTGCTCTTCCAGAGGACCTAAGTTCGATTCCTAGTATGCCCTTGGAGATTCACAACCATCTATTATCCAGTCCCAGGGGATCTGCTGCTCTCTCTTGTGCACAGACAGACATGCACAGGCAACACCCACACACATTAAATAAAGTATTTTTTAAAATGGACAAAAGTATTCATTTTAATCATTCTTTGTAGCAAATGTGGGAAGTGCACTCCATGGATCCCGATAGGACCATGCTTCTAGACTGCTGGAGAGGGCGGGGATGGAGGAAGGGTTAACAGCCTGGCTTTGCAGCTGGTGTGCTCAGAGAAGAGAAAGAGTTCGTGGATGAAGGCATGGGCCCAGGGCTCCGGCCCCGCCTGTGGGATCTGGCCACCTACTCTCAGCCTCTGCCCCAGCCCATTCAGGGCCTCTTGGGGGCTTTCACAGGACTGCATGGGCATGTCCTGCATAGCAACTCCACCTCGAGTCTCACACCACAGCCCAGCTGTTCTGTGTCGGCTCCAAACCTGGAGGCAGTCCATTCATGAGGGCAGAGCATTATCGAGGATCACAGATCACTCCACACCTTAATCTAAGAAACATGCCCCCAAGGCTCTTAATTACAGTGGTTTAAATAAAGCAACAAAGAAAAAATTTTGTGAGCCTAAATGATTTCCATGTCTGAAGGTAAAATCAAGGGGGATTTTGATCTTTGCCTCCAGTGCATTCCAGGAGCATGTACAATTAAGTCCTCTACAGCAGACACTATACACAGCAGCAGCTTCACCTGTGAGATGCGCTGCAGAACAGAAGCTGAAACATGGCCCTGCTGGGACAGTGCTTCCATCGAGTAATACGTGTCCTTATGTAACTAAAACCTTTGTTGATTAATGTTCACTATGCTCTTCTAAGGTTCCTTTGAGTTCTTACCAGAACAATTCAAAATATTTGTTTACTGGTCAAAGCCAAATATGGCTCGGCAGTGCTTGGACACAAAGGTCTACCAAGCGTATGGGGTCCTTTGCTGTGAGGATGTGTGTAAGGCTTGCTGGTCCCCATTTACACTGCACGGTGCAAAGAAACCTTCCGGGAAGCTGGAGCTGCCCGCACCCACCATAGCATCTAAGGCAGAAATGGAGGTGGGAATGGCGCCCAGCAGCAGAGTGCCTGCACAGCAAGCGTGAGGCCCTGGATTACATCTCCAGCAGCCCCTTCCAAATTAAGCAAGAACAGAGTTAGCGTCAGGCTAGGGCTCCCTAACCCATATTCCAGGGATTTTGTCCGTATTGCAGGGGTGCCGTGAAGAATGAGCTCAAAATCATTTTTGAGACTAAGTTGAAAGACTGAACCACAATAAAACACGAGGCGTTTCGAAGATGAAATCAGCTGCACTGGAAGGGGAAACAGGCACCCTTGGGCAGGAGTGCGGTGCATTCTAACCTTCTGTGTCAAGGGCTTCAAATCACAAATCAGTCAACACTCTGCACAGCCCCACTTATGAGCACTGCTTCCCCCTGCTCGGCCCACACCCTAATACCTACAGTGAGCTGCACATCTGGCTGCTTTTCCAGAAGAACCATGTCGCCAGGTAAGCCGAAGGACTTGGCTTGGTAGGTGAGGTAGCCGCCATAGGAGGAAACCTGAAATTGAATGGACAGTCTCCACAGCACTGAAAATGACCAGGCTGACATTAACCAGGATGTCTGGAAAGACGAACATGGGCCCATCGGCAAAGGAGCCCTAGCGGGTAGGGCTAAGAATGCTGCCTTCATCTCCTACTTTATGTCATTTTTAGATTCCCGAAAACCATTGACATGCTTTTTATAAGTGGGAATGTGTAGTGGGTAGCCATTCCAGCTTTGATCCGGAAGTTCCAACCCCACTGAGGCTTCGGTAACTGTCACGCCTACAAGGCGGGGCCGAGAGAGGACCCTGAATACCCGAGATCTGGATGTGCCGCCTCTCTTGGTTCCTGGACCCTGGACACTGGAGGTAGACTGAGCAGAGTTCTCCAGAGAACACCACCGGACTGCACTGCATCTTTCCCAGACCCTGCAACCTATCCCTTCACTTGTAAGTTACGCCACTAAATAAACTATGTGGAGTTTAACTTTTAACTACGTGGAGTGGCCTTAATAATTTCACCAATAGGACTGTGTACTTTTATTAAAAAGAAAAAATAACAACCATACTGCAACAGATAAGATTTGTTTTCTCCCTCTCATGATGACTGAATAAAAAGTTTGCTTAATCCAAAGAAATCCATTATCGAAATAGAAGAAATGGGATTATCAGTTGCAAAACAAACCCCTAAAAATAAATGTTCAAAAAAAAAAAATCCCTTGACAGCAGATGGTGACCGTTCCCTGTTTGCTGGAGGGAGAAGCCATGATCAATGGCTCCCTCAGAGACACAGACTGGGCCCGCACAGTGTGACCGTGGTGGCAATGCGCAGTGAACGGTCATAACTTTCTGTCAACTAGTTCACCTCTCCTCCTGGTCCCTCCCACCTTAAAGTCATCTAGGAATGAGGAGTGACAAGAGTGTCACCAGTGACATCATCTCAGCTGAGAACAAAACGCCGCTGTTCCAGGGAGGTGGGGGGAGTGTCTCTGGGGCCCCAGGCCACAGAGGCTTCTCCTAGGACCTGCAACCTGATCAAGCTTCCCAGAGCATTTCCAAGAGATACCTGGGCTCATCTAATTGACTTTAAGCACTGTGTTTTCAATAGGCCAGGCTATTTTAAAATGCATGCATGAATTCTGATAATCCTTCCTAGAGTGGCTGGAATTAGCAATGTCCCCATAGGCTCAGGTATCTGGACACTTGGTTCTCTACTGTGGCCCAGCTGTTTGGGGAGGTTGTGGAACTTTTACGAGGTGTAGTGTAAGGTCATAGCTAGAACAGCTCCCCACTCCAGTGTAGCTTGGCCGCAGAAATTCTATCACTGGGGTGGGCTTTGAGAGTTCATACCCTTGCCCCTTTACAGCCCACTCTCCGCTTTCTCTGGGTGGTTGGAGGTATGATCTCTCAGCTTCCTGCTCTAACCACCTGCTTCCCTGCCTCCACCAAAATAAACTCTTGTAGATGTTGCTCTTGGTCATGGTGTTTGATTGCAGTAACAGAAAAGTAACTGACACACGAGGGAAGTGCCATTGCCCTCTCCTTGTGTGTGAGCTCAGCTCACTGACTCATTTTAACAAGTTCATGAGCAGAATAAAGCAGATGTGAGACTTCACCTTTTCCAGAGTGGAGTTATAAGATTATCACTTCTGTCTAGAGTTCTTTCATTAATTCTCACTATCGCATTCCTCTTCCTCGGCTACTTTGTAGATACCTGCCACCTTGTCACGATGCTCCTCAGGTAGTCCAGGAAGGTCTCGTGGGATGAGGCTCTGAAGCCTCCGCCAGATGGAGAAGGGACAGAAGCCTGCTAGCAACCATGGCAGTGGCCTCAGCAAGTGAATCTTCTAGTTCTGAAGTGACTAGCCCTGGCTAACATCTTGACCACAGCCCCAGAGGAAACTGCACCACTGACTCCTGGATCCCCAGTCCACAATGAACAATTACTTGTTACCTTTAGCTGCTGCATAGCAACAGATGAGCAACAGATGGGCTAACCATGGAGAGGAGAGGAGGGTTAGTGAGTGAGGGAGGAGGGGGTCACATGACCAACACATGGACTAACCATGGAGAGGAG